GAAATATCTCTAGTTTGAGAGTAGCCTTACTAATGAGTAATTTTATTTAGAAATATGCCTCCTCCATGCAAAAATTGGCAACTACGTATTGGGTGGAGAATAACTTGAACACCAAAAGTTCAACATACTCCAGGATAGAATGGATTAAATCTCATTGCGAGGAGTACTTTCTAAATGGTGAAAAACAAAAGTATGATACAAGGGAAGATGATATTAAGTCGAAAATAGATGCAAGCTTTGTGACAACTGTTCCTGAAGATTATAACACGAACGCTGCATACAAGAAGGATCAACTACCGAAATGTTACGACAAAAATACAGAAAAGACAGATAAAATATGTTTTCTAGATGTAGGAAGCTGTTATAATCCTTTTGGAGATACAGATATGTTTGATGTAACTGCAATAGATTTGAATGGTTTGCCAGACAGAGTTTTATGTTGTGATTTCTTAAACGTTCAAATTGGGGAGGAGCAAATATTGTCTGATGATAAACAAGAGATCTTGCAATTGTCTAAAAACTCTTTTCATGTAATTGTATTTTCTTTATTTCTCGAATATTTACCCTGCCCTAAGCAAAGATACTTATGTTGCAAGAAAGCTTATGAATTGTTAAGAGATAGTGGTATACTTTTTATTATAAGCCCCGACTCAAAGCATGTTGGCGCAAATGCAAAAATTATGAAATCATGGAGATATGTTTTAAGCAAATTAGGATTTATGAGAATAAAATATGAGAAACTTCGGCATATACACTGTGTAATATTTAGAAAGTGTGTATTTGTCGATGTTGCAATAAGATGGGCGAATTTGCAAAAGTTGCCTGATGACGATCCATTATATGCAAATGATACTTCGATTTATATTCCACAAGATTTTCGGAATGAATCGAATGAGGATAAAGAGCAGGATAATCATAAATACGATCGTGAGGAATTAACGTTTATGTTTAATGAACTGCCTTTCGAATAAAATAACGAACAGAAAATTGTTCATTATTATACAGTTCCGTGGAATTATAATAAAATATATAAAT